TTCTCGCCCTTAGCATTAGTGGATCGAACTCCTGGAAAGACACGCGTACCGAGAAAAACAGCAAGTAGGTAAATAGTACTTAGCACCTTTTCTAAAGAAAATCAGTGCTCCACGTGGACCACGAAGTGATTTATGCGTGGTGGTTGTGACAATGTCGGCATACTCAAATGGTGATGGGATGAGACCAGCGGCGACGAGTCCGGAGATATGAGCCATGTCAGCCATTAGGTATGCACCGCACTGAAGAAATACTTATGATCTTTAAGAAAAAGCTGTCTACAGATAGAGCTAAACAGTTTTTGAAGTGTATCCATGAGCGGTACTTCGGATTCAAACGAATATATATCTGGGAATGTGTTAATGAGAGGGTATGGTGTGCAAAAAAACCTTAACTGTTTGGGTGGACGGGTTTTTCTAACTTAATCGTAAATAGCAGATAGTGATGCTACAAAAAAACTTGCTCCCAAAACTCCTAAATCCTAATGGGAAAGCTGGCTTACTTCCAATCCCAACTTAATGCAATGCACTGGGAGAGAAATCTGCATACTTGAGTAAAACGAAGCTGAATAATTTCATCCGCTCATACTTATTGCTCCAAGTTCTACATCTAATCTTTTTTTAAATTAGGAGTGGCAAAAATACCTTGATTTTTAGTGTTCTTGTGTAGTAAGAGATATTATTTATTTCATTTTATTTTCCCAGCAGAAACCTTAACTCGCAAAAATCAATCTTCTTTTTTGCTAGGCAAAGAACCTAATTTTGGATTCCTGATGTTTCCCTACTTTCTTCCCAAAATCAACTCAAGATTTTAGTACTTGCATATATACTTTCTATTTTTTTAATATTGTAGTTTAGCCAAGACCACTTCTTAGCTACCTTCTCTCCAGACAGCTATCCGCCATCGACACCACATGATATAAAGTTTCAGCTATAACAAATGGCACCAACAGATTTTTATCTCATTTTCGGATTGCTATGAGTGCATTAAACTAGGACTTTTCTATCATCGCCCAAGATTGTGTTGCTTGAGAATTCGTTTTTTGCCACTTATAGATGTACAACTTTCCAAACGCCAAAT